ATAGGTTCTCAACTTGTAATGGTTCTTTATGATTAAATAAATAAACGACATCAACCTGATTGCGGGATTAAAAAAAATAAAATAAAATAAAATAAAAGTGCAAAATCAATTAAAAAAATATCTAAAAATTGTATTAAAATTTTGCATAGAAAGGATTTTATATAAAAGAAAAAACTTTTCTTTTTTGTTTTAAAGAAATTATGGATACAAAACTTTATATTAATATTTTATAAAATTATAAACAAGAAATTAAAAAACTATTTGGAAACAATTGGTACTTTTATCAAAATAATAATTTCAAGTATACAAGTAAAATAACTAAAATGAAACTTTTTTTGAAATTATTAATTGGCTTTCTAATAATCCAGATTTAAATTCTATTAAAAATCTTTAAACTATTATTAAAAGAAATATAGAAATAAGATTATCAAAAAATATTTTAAAATTATAACAATTTATAATAAATGAATAAGATAAAATTTTAAATAAGATTTTAAATAATTTTATAGATTTAATAAAAGAGAGAAATATGAATTAATAATTGAAAAGAATGATAAAAAAATTAATTATTAATTATATTTTAATAAAATCTTTAGATTTTTAGTTTTATTTTAATTATGGTTCCAAAAATTGGAATTGAACAAAATCACAGGAAATTATATGAGATTCAGAATACTATTAAAAATGATGGTGAAGCATATTTCACCTATTAAATTTAATATAAACTTGAGAATTGAATACAGAATTAAAGAGAATCATTAAGATCTTTAATTTTAATATATTTGTTATTAATTTCTATGCAGTAGTTTTTGAGTAATGAACAAATAAAAAATTCTAAAATTTTTTGCATCATACTGTATATTATATATACATATATAGTATATATAGTATATATTATTTATTCAAAATTTTTTTTTCAATTTTTATATAATTATAATACCTTCTAATAAAGAATTAACTTTTAAATAAAAAGCAGTTATAATTTGTAACTATAAAAAAAACACTTATTACAATATTGCAACCATAAACTATTATTTTTTGTTAGTTAATTAATTAATTAATAAATTCAGCAATATTAATTCTTAATTATTACTGTATTATATACAATAGTTTTTATTAAAAAAAAAACCTCCAATTTATAAATATTAAAACTTTTGCTTTTAATCTTTATCAATTTTATCTTATTTGATATTGCTTGATACAAATTTCTATCTTTAATTCATATAGCTAAACGTTTTTTATAAGAACTGAATACGAAATTAATCACTTAAACAATAAGAATATGTTTGGTAAATAGATTTTAATTATTTTAAATATTTATATATAATCTATATACAGTATATATGAATATGATTGGAACTTCTAAATAAAATACAATTGATTTATATTACATTGTAAAGGGTGTGTGATGAAATTCATATTTATATTATATAATATTGATATTTAAAAAAATCAAGAAATCCTTATGATTTAATTTCCAGGAACTTGACAAATAAAGTTATAAATAATATAGCAATAATATATTTTTTATTTATTTATTTGAAAATCAAAGTTGACAATTTATTTATGTTATTAATATCGATAATGCAAAATTTATATGGTAACAAAATACTTATTTTTTTTTATTATTGAAAGAAATATTAATAATTCATATAACTATTCAATTGAAAGATATTCTTTTCTTGTTATAAGAAAATAATTAATGTAAAAAATATATGAACGAAATCAAATTATAAAACAATCATGAGTTTCTAATTCTTAAATATGACCCGATGATTTTTTTTTTTTTGACTTATTTAATAAAGATAAATTTTAAATTAAAAAATTTGTATTGCAACTATAGTAGTACATCGGAAATAAAATAAAATACAGTAAAAGGTCATAGCTAGTATGAAAGATGGCAATACCAAAACCCAAGATCCCTATTAATATGACATACTGTATAGTTTCCTGCTCACCTTCATTTATCATCAATAAACCTTTTAATAATTTTACACACATAATAAAGAACCATTCCATACTTTCAAGATCATCTCTAGGAAATGTAGTATCAATCTTAACAATTGCGTTCATTTGGCGTTCTGCATGAAGTGGGAAATACAAAATTTATATAAATGTAAAAGAACGCAGGAAATTTTCATAAAATCAATTATTACCGCCATGGAACACCCAAAGCATCAAATATTTCCTTCTCCGTTTTTTGAGCGATCAATTTTTCGGCACCACCTCTATTTTCGTACAAACCATGATGGTTAAGTTTCATGTTCTGTCATTTCATATTTAATCAATTAATAATACGATAAGCTATAAATGAAATCCAACATGCCTTGAAACACGATTACCTTTTTCTTTGCGAGCAGTCTCATACTTCGGTTAAAAATATCATCTCCAGTGTAAGAAATCAATGCTGCACCCAACTCATTATAAGGTACCGAGAAAAAATCTATGAATTGAAATTTGTTCTGTTAAATTAATTACTTTGAACAAAACAAGTTCACGGTTTTGCATACCTATTCTACGAAATTTTCCTCCAGGTAGTTTACAGATTCCCATATATCTTGTAGAAAGATCATCTCTTGGTTGTGATAAATCATGGGTCAAAATTCCTTGTTCATTCAGGCATTTAACTAATTTTGGAATAATACCTATGGAATAAGGCAATAGATTGTAAAAATTCGAACTGGTTACATCCAGTGCAAACTCGGAGCCTTACCAAAATGAGTTTTTCCATCTATATCATTCCGTGTTATTAATATGTCAATATCCCCACATGTAGAATTCCCCCTTCTATAAGATCCAGTGGTAAATAATTCTGATTTGGGATCAATCCCATGGGCAGCATCCTCTACTACTTTTGAAATCACCTTGACCTCATCACGTGGGATTCGCTGTTGAAGGTCCTTTAGGTATGATAGGAACGTACATGTAAGTAAGTGCGCACAGTTCTACAGATATTCAACCATAAATCCTTACTTCGAAACATTCAATCCCTGCCTTTTGTGTAGGTGTTAATTCTACATTTTTCAGAATATCATCAAATGTTCTATAACCCTTAGCGTACCATTTCAACGCAACAGAAGATCCAACCCCTTAAAAGTTTTGAATGAGCACCGAAACTGAATTAATATGATGCAAGTATTATTTCTCCAACTACCTACCATGTACGGCACTAAATTTTGCGATGATGTCATCAGACTCTGGAATGCTTTCAATACGTTTTAAATTTCCTGTCTTTACTATCTCTGCGATCTGTAGTGAATTATGGATGGTTATCGATAATGATTGATTATAATTTTACGCTATAATTTTACCTTTGATGCTATACTATTTCCTATGCCACTGATCTTTTTGGCTTCCTCGTAAGACGTAATTGGCTTTTTGTGATTCTTTATCGCAGATATGGCTTTGCGATAGCTTAAAACACGCCATTTGTCATTCCTTACTTGATAATGATCAAGTAAAACTTGAAGCTGTGATAATAATAATGATTATAGTATTGTGAGTTTAACATATTTTGCTTTAATTAGATTGAATTTTCACATGCACAAACCTTGTCAATTATAAATTTATTTGGGTTGCTATGCATACTATCGAACGAGTTTTGCATCTTTAATTCCGGCATGAAATATATCGCATCAATATCTGGAATTGTAAAATGTAGAATAAAATTGAAGACTAACCTTTGGATTAAACATTGAAGATTCGTCAATATTTTTACTAGATTGAGACGTTTCCTTTTTCCCATGTTTATCCCCTTCGTCCAGATTAAGAGCCTTAATAATAATCTAGGTTATACTTTGTATAATTCAACCAACACATATTTAAACATTCAATGAATAATCTAGAGTAAGTTATTTTACCTCACTACCGAGTCGTTTTGCTTCCTGTATGACATCAAGCAACGGATCGCCAGTAGGCGACGGTTGTAGATCTCTTTCTGGAGACGAATTTCGTCTTTTATGCCTATAATATTATATGATGATTTTTTAAGAATTTATGAAAATCATTAAATTCCTTTAGACTATTAAAGTAAAAATTACTTTTTCTTGTCAATCTCTTCACCAATTGTGTCATTCCTTGTTCTCTTGGTGCTTGCCATTTGTGATAGATTTTGGACTGTTTGTAAATTAGAATTTTCTACCCGATAGAGTTCGATATTGGCGAGTTTATTGTTCTACGGTATGATTACAGTAATAGATATGAATACAGTACTGTAAATCTTGATCATTGATAACATTCTGAGTTCAGTGTAACTTTTTTGTACACACCGTAATTGAAGCGGATATCCAATCGGGTTGAAGAATCAAAGTTCCCTTAGTTAATAAATATTAAGGATTAGCTTATTATATTCTCATATAAAACAGAGGATTATAACGAAGAAGTACCTCGATATTTTCACCGTCAAGACCAATGGTACTTAGTGTGCCTTCTTTTGACAATGCTGTGATTACATGAGTGACATTGGAATCAAAGACATCGACAACGTCTCCTCCTTTATCTTTCACTTTAGTTTTCATCAACTTCAGGCGAGTATTGTCAATACCATCTTGAATAAATAGAATCCTAAAGTCATCGAAAATTCCGGAAGGAACTGATGGTGATGATAATACATTATCGGCAATTTTTTTTCTCTTTCCACTCTTTGGTTTGGTTGGCAAAGGATTCCGTTTTCTTGGAATAAAGGATTTTTGAAAATTTGAACCTAGTTTACAGTATATTAAATGAATTATATAGAATTGATAGTTCGTTTTGTGCAGTTTTGATCTTACGTTCATGCTGTTTAGCAGACTTGAAGAAAGATGATATTTGTATCTCAGGATCGTTAGCTCGGACGGGTAAAAGCGACTGCGTAGAGTCTTTCCTACTAAATGATTGCGAAAAATCATTCGTTAATTTCGAATTTAATTTTTCGGTTGTCGAAATTTTTCTCTGTCTTGATTTGGTTGGTTTTTTTGTGTTTCTAGTGTCTTTTAAATCCATGACGTGGATTCACCTCAATAACATCTGTATATTGTACAATTAAAGATGAAAAGAATGATACAGTATGGCTAATTTGATATTACTTATCGGTTGTTTCTACGACAGTGAAAACTTTATATATATCGTTTCTATGATGGTTTACACATGGACATTTCGTTTCCCTGACGTTACTCTACACCTTAAGTTTTGGTTACGCAATTTGTACGTGTTTGAAATGATTATAAATGCGTGATTATTATGCATTATTTACTTAATTTTCCCCATTAATAGAAAATACAAAATACCTTACTTCACACATTCTCAGTATATTATGTAATTGTCACTTTTTCATGCCTACGCTAACCTCTATCAGAGGGAGGATAAGAGAATGTGGATAATTTTTAATATCACGAAAACGGAAACCGTTGTTAAGGAGCTTTAAAAGTTTACTGTTTCATATTTGTGTATCAATTGGAGTCAATAATTCATCAATTCAATTCTTGAGGAGAAACGCGGACATTTTTCTATTACGTAGAAATATATACGTAGTCCTACGCTGAAATTCTTGTTGTTTTATACTGGTTTGTAATCAGGTGATATTGGAACCGATTAAACGGCTGGTAGGTTCGATTTAAGGACCATCCATAATTTATTTTAAACAAGTGTCAGGAAAATGATCATACTGATTAAAATTATTGTAACAATCAATCGTTATGAAACATACTGTATAATAATAGAACAGACTGAAGATAAAGTAATTGTTCGTAGCAACATAGATTTACAAAATACAGTAATGTTCGATGATTTCATAGATACCGATGTGTTATTGGTAATGATCTCGCAAACATAGGTTGTTCTTTCCTACCTTCCTAATTAATGACTCTTAAATTATTCCTTGAATCTAAGCTATTCGAGAATATGTTAGCCTTATAATGAACGAATAGCATAAGATGCATTTGTAACTTATTAGTAATCATACCATTTTTTTTTATTCTCTTCTTTATTTATTTCACATCTAGAAGTAATTATAAGATCATTAAAGTTTTATTGTTACTTATTAAGTAAATAAAAGTAATGTCTACTAGCATGATTTATATAATTTTTTGTAAGATTTTTTACAAAAAAGATAAATTGAAAGTTATCGTTATACAAATATTTATCTAAGCAATTATCCATTATTTTCAGTATAGGTTGCGTTGATAGCTGAAACCATAAAAAAATATATCACCAGTATTCTTAAATCAAATTATTTGCTATTTAAAAACTAGCTAATAACATTATAAAAAAAATATACAATTTATATATACATGAAAAAATAATATATAATTAAATTGTTTATATTGATTCTTAATAAGCATAACAAATATGTTTGGATAATTTAAAAATCTAATTGAATAAAAATAATATGTTAATATATTAATCAATTAATAAAAACAAATTCATTTTTAATTATTAAAAAATAAGGTATGTAACTAAATAAAAAATATAAAGAAATAAATATATATATAGAAAGAGTTTCAAGAAAATTTTTTAAAAAATAATTTTTATAGGTTTTTTCATGTAATTAAAAAAAAACAAGATTTTAAATAAACAAATAATAATAAACTAATTGCTTTTTTTATAAACTTATATTATCAAATACAGTATATAAAATAATTTCTTTATTTAAAAAATATTATCAATTTGATAAATTAAAAAAAAATTTTTTGTTTTTTATTTTTTTTTATTATTTTATATTTTTGTATATATGTTAATTAAAAACTAAATAATAATAATAATATAACAATAAATAATATATTATGTTATATATAAATAATTTAAAATAATCAAAAATAGAAAAATTTACTAATAAGAAAAATAAAAAAAATATCTTAAAAAATCAATTGTTTACAAATTATATAAAGCTATTTTATTTAAATAATTTATTATTATATTATTTTACTATTATTTTTATATTGCTATATAATATATTTTAATTATTATTATTATTATTATTATGATTTTTTTCAATAAATAAATATCATTTCTTTATTTATTTATATAATAATAGATATACATTGCAAAAGAAACAACATCTCTCATGTGTATTAATACAATGAATTAAATGCTAGCTTGCCTACAGTAACCACTAAACTAATATTGAAAAGAAATTTTTAAAACAATATATTTCGTCAAGTGGCTCCGAGCAGCTATGATTACCTACTCAGCATTGGGTAGAAGAAGATTAGAGAAATCTGAAATTAATTTGGAAATGCATTTGGTAAAGTTGAATCCACTTTGGATGTATGAGTCCGCTACAATAGTAGGTGCATCTATAGTAGTTGATGTTGATGTGGAATTGTTATTGGATATTTTGGTCTTGATTAGGTTTTTGGTTATTTGTTTTGTTGGGTTGCTATGGTGGTTGTTGTCCTATTTGATGCTGGTAAGAGGGAAGAATTTATTATTATATTATTATATATATATATTTTTTTTTTATCGCGAACAAGCATTAAATGTGAAACTTTATTTAAATAAAAATATTTACTGTCATTACATTAACAACCTTTACATAGTAAATTAATTGTAACCTATCGCAACAAAACTATTGGAACCAGGTACCACTACGGGAGTGGGCTCGCAACAATAGTGCTGAATGGCTAATGC